GCAAAGCAGTGAGACGTGAAGGAGAGACCTGTCCACCTTGGCGGGGGTCCCGTGTGCTTCCTGCGGGTCTAGCGCTCCAGGGTGCTGGAAGCCCTTGTGTGTGGGGGGGAGGTGGAGCGCTGGGCGCTGCCTCAGCCTAGCTATTGCAGAACGTGGTCAGGGCACCAGCACGCCAGAGAAGGGACTGGGATTGAGGCTTGCCTAATCTAATTCAGACCATCTAGACCCCTCCTTCCACCTTCCTTAGCAACTAGGGTCTGCACAGGTAGGAGTCACTCAATCCTAAGCCCAGTGGATGATATGAGTACTGATGTTTTTTTTTCTGCCTTCTGCTTTTCTTTCGGACTAGAGCACCAATGCAATGGCTGGAGCCACTGCTGTCACACTGCAATCCTGAGGAAAGGTCAGGAGAATCCTAGAACCATGGGCACTGGGATCTCTCAGATGCCAAGCCAGCCCTAGCAACAGCTGACTCAGGAGCCCTTCTTTAGGGCTTCCCTTGTCTTCAGAGCTGTAGTAACCTGGCTGTAGGTATCTGCAGCTAAATACAATAATTTCTGGTAAGAGAACAGAGAAGGGTATAGGAACTAGTTTACAGACTCTAGTATGCAACAGCAAGATGGAAGAGACGAAGGGCAGGTTTATGCAACAGGAAGGGCAGCTTTGGAGGCTGATGAGACAGGGAAGACCCAGAGAAGATGATGGGGCAGATGCAGGAGGGAAAGGACACAGTCCAGGTTCAGAAGAAGGAGCCATCCTCAGAAGCCTGCTCACAAGTGTGGCTCAGGGCTGCACGGAAGTGTGGATTTTAGGAGGGCTCCCCGTTCAACTACAGAAGTGGTTACTACACCCTAAGTTTAAGCACACTATGTGGCCCAGCCCTCTGTGACCAGACTCCAGGAAACCCCAACACGGTCAGGCCCCTGCTGGACCACACTGCTGTGAGATCGTGGTATAGAGCTTGTCCTCTACTCAGGCAGCTTCAGAAGCTGTTGGCTGGGTTCCTCTGCATTTTACCCAGCTAGCTTTGCTCCGTATCTGCTGGCTGTAGGACTCTGCCATGTCCTGCTAGTCTCCTTGTAGAGGAGTGTCACAAGGACTCCCAACAATACCCTTCCCACCAGGCACATCACTAGTGATCCCCTGGGCTCTCACCTGAATGGCAGCTCTGGGGCTGTCCTTGCTGTCCGACCCAGAACTCAGCCCCTTGCTCCAGCTGGGAGATGACATCGGGCTTAGGAAGCTCAGGACCTGGACATGGAGAGATGGCAGTAAAGATGTGGAGGATGCTCTGAGGAGCCAGCAGACCCAGCCCAGATGAGCAGCAGGCCCCACCCACACCTGTACCCATCCCACTGGGTGGCTGGATCTGTACATGAGGCCCCATGACTGAAGCTTTCAGTGGAGAAGCAGGCCTCACCCACAGAGAGTAGGTGCCTGAAGGTCTCCAGCATCACGTCGCGGTATAGTATCCTCTGTATAGGGTCCAGCTGCCCCCACTCCTCCTGGGTGAAGTCCACGGCCACGTCCCGGAAGGTCACTGGCTCCTAAAAGAGCATGCACATCTCCATCAGCTGGACCCCCATCCACACTTGCTGGAGGGCAGGGGAAAAACGGGGAAGGAGGGCACAGGCAGGTGGGGTCCTGCAGGAACACAGCTCCTGGGCAGCAGGTGTGGGCTGCACAGCAAGGACCTGGGAGAGCACCCAGCGATCGGCAAGGCCAACCCCAGCTGACCTACAACTGGTCAGAGAACAGTGGTGTCAACAGAAAGCAGCTGACTGAGGTTGCTGAGCTTGAGAAATGGTTCCTGCTTCAAGACACAAAGTTTTAGAGCAGTTGTTACAAAGCAACAGCTAACTGATACATCTGCTGATCCTTACATTAAATGCTCAGCTCATGATCCTCCTAGTCACAGTCAGCAATTCCTCTTCCTCAGGCTTATGGAATTGAAGTGGACAAGGAGATTCCCTGAAGCCTTAACCTGTGATGAATGGAGCCAGAGCTTAGGAGGCAGCTGGTGTCCTGCTCTGGGGGCAGCAGGCTCTCTGAACTGACTGACTATGGAGAAATACAAGGTCCGTGTGGTTGCCACTGTCAATTTCTGGAGAAAAGGTAGAAATTAGGTCAAAATTTTATGTGAAAAATTTTATTTTTTGAGCCAAGTGTAGTGGCACAAGCCTGGAATATCAGCATTTTGGGAGGCTGAGGCAGTGGGATCACAAGCTCAAGCCCAGCCTGGGCAACCTAGTGACTTAGCAAGATCTTGTCTCAAAGTAAAAAATAAAAAGGGGATGGGGACATAATTTAGCAAAAAGGCCCTGGGTTTCACCTCCAGTACCTCAACTAACTAAATATATAAGTAACCACCCTCTCCGTGGGAAATTGACACAGCACATCTCAAATATGTCCCACGAA